CATAGCTAACGCAAACCCCTTTTTCTTCAAACTCAAACCAGATTCATAGATAGAACTTGTATGGAGGACACAATCAAGTGTAAAGACCAAGACTTTCAGCATTCAAACATGATTCAGCAACTTATAAACCAGTCCAAAGTAAAAAATATTACCTTTAATCCTTGACCAAAGCTTGATGTATTCCAAAAGATGAAATCTTTGTCTCTCTGGCTCTCTTGCAGCTGCACCTCCTGATTCTTTTCCTTTGCTACAACGAACCAGAAACCTTTTCTTCCTTCCTTGCTATTCAGATTCTCCCTGGAGCCCTCAGCCGTCAGCTCTCTCTTGTTTCAGATTCCCTTCTCCTTTGTTCAGCTTTTTCTCTCTTCCTTTCCACAGCCGAAGCCCTTCCTCCACTTTTGTTTCCGCCGTTACCCTCCAAAACCTCCCTGTTTTCTATCTCTCAAAAAATGGTTCCCTTCTGTCTCTCGTTTTCCTTTCCGTTCACTCAATAAGTCTCCCGTAGCTTTTGCTTTTCTACAGCCGTACCCCTAATCTCTCTTTTGCTCTCCCTGTTTCGTTTTTGCCTTCCCCTCCAACCTCTCCTATCTTCCACTGTCTTCTTTTCTATTTTCTTTCCCCTCAGTTTTTTCCTTAGCCCGTCAACTCTCTCTTCCATCCTCTCTTTTGCGGCTGTTTCTTTTTAGCTTCTTATAGCAACTTATCAACCCTAAAACCCTCAGCAAACTCTGCTAATATTGCAGCCCAAGGGCTTCCCGAGCCCTTCTTTGCAAGCTGCGAAAAACGCAGCTTGCATGCTACGGTCTTTTTTTCTTTTTTTTTTTTTGAAAAGTAATTAAAAAATTGATAATAGTAAAAATAAATAACAAAGACCATTTAATTAACATTGGATGCAAAATAAACTAGAAACAACAAAGTGCAATTTCCAAATCCTTTTTTCCATTTTCCATTTTCATCGTTTTTTTTTTACTTTTCCTTTTTTTCCTCTTTCAAGAAAGTATTGAATTTAAATTACAAACGACTAAATCATATTTTTTTGAATGCTTTTTCCTTTTTTTCTTTTTTTTCCTTTTCCAAGAAATTCTATGATAAAACTTAAAAATAAAAATAAAACTAGAAACTAAAAACTAAAAAAAGAATAAAACTAACACTACAAATAAAAACTAAGAATAAAAAGTAAATGAAATTACACCAAAAATTTGGTGTCTACATGTAGTCGTTTATGTATTAGGCATGGAGGTTATGGACCCATTCCATGGCAGGGCAACTCGGATGGCAAATCTGAGATGGGAGCAAATTTAATAGTTCCTCTCACTTGCATGCAACTGGGTTGCAGCCATGCAGCCATGGTACTATTCCTCCCTCTTGGCATTGAATACTGAGCCTTTTCACGCATGATTTTGCTAAGTTCCCAACTGTACTTTAGTATGTTGATAAAGTTTAAAAATCAAAGGCAGTATAGGATATTGGGTATCAAAATTAATTTCTAAATCTAATCCTGTGGTAATATTCAATGTTGGGCCTTGACATCACAGAACAGGTATTGCTTTTTCTTGCAATTTTCTACATTAGATTATTTCAGATAGCCCTTCCCAATGATGCGTTGGGGGTTATATATCCACAAAAATGCTATTTACCGAAAGTTTAGCATATGATCAACTTCTTTCTTTGGGTTGGTAGTAATGGATGCTGTTATTGGTTTTTGTCCAGCAACTAGAAATCAGTATTCATGATTTTTAGGGAAGGTGTGGTGTAATTGTACGATTTTTCCATTATTAAATTCACTCTATTTTTTATTATAAGTAATAGGATTGCAAAGTTATTGGTGACTATCAGTTCATTATTGCGGCTTTTGTGAGAGTTGTGCTTCCAAGATTCATGCATGAGTAGAACAATTAGTTAAAGGGTCATATGATTTCATTAGAGTCGACTGCTATACTTCTTATGCAACTTCCCATCTATGAAAATTAAGTGAACTTATACCAGTCAAGTTTAGTACCAACATGAGCTCAGTCGCAGCTTTATAATTGTTTTAAATTACAACAATTTCGAAGTTATCAGGCACATTTTGACTTTTTTGTTGTTATAATGTTGCTGGAGTTTTTGAAGTTAGTTGATCATTGTACTTCAACAATGATAAGCTATCACTTAGGATAGCTCTGCATTCTTTTTTCCTCTTCTGTTTCTTATGGTATTAAGAGTTGAAAAAGCATGGACATTGTGTAAGTTGAGAGCTTTCATATCTAAATAAAAACAAAAGTAGAAAAAACATGGCCTTTGCATTGAGGAAAGCATCTGTGCTAGCAAGATTGGAAAGTACATAGCAATATCCATCTGCTATTGTATATTTTATGACGGCCCAGCTTTATAATGATATACCCTCTGTATTGTTGAAGAAATATGATATATTGAGCTCAAGCTATTGCAAATTTGGGGGAAAAAAATCATTGAATCAACTAGGTTTGCATATTATTTTTAGCTTTTAGCTTAGTAGTTAGCTTAGAAGTGAAAAGATGATGAATTTTTGATATTGTTTGGATTTAAGAAAGAAGTCAAAGGATTTAGGACATTAGAGATGATTCAATTCCCTACAACCACTGTTTCAAATACAAATTGGTCATTTTTTGAGAACTTTTATAACTGCACAGCAGGTTTCCTCTTACTTGCTTATCCAGGTTGTATGGAGAGATTTCAATGGTTTTTTATCAAAATTTTTTTAGGAAATTTGGAAAAGAATGTTATTGAAATAGAGGAATTTTACATAAATTTGCTGGAAGTTTTGTTACTTCCTCTTTTTCTGTGGTGGATTCTAATTAGTAGCTAAAAGATGATGTGTTGAATTGGAGTTTAATATAGTCATGATTAGAGGGTAAGAAACTTTCAAATGTAATTTCCTGGTCAAAAGAAGAATTTTGGTGATGGGATTTGCAGTGTGAGATTCAAGCTCTTGATTGCCTTTCTGCAGCTATTGCAAATATGATATATTGAAGGGACTAAACATGTTGCAGGCCTTCCCTACTCACATTGCAGAGAAAAGATCATACTTGTAGACAAGGAGAATGATCCTTTATCTTGTTGTAAAACATGCTTCAATTGTTTAGATTTTTGGAAATGCAATGATAGTTTCTTGCTTTCACAGTGCTCTTTTGTTTTTTGGGAACAATTTTGCTCTTATGAGCTGCACATGGATCGACTAACTCTGCAAGGAATTTTGTTCCTTGCTTATGGTTAAGTATGTGACTAGAATACTGTAGCAGCCTTTATGCAGAAATGAAACATGCCTAACATTTCATATCTTACGAAGGCTGTCACAGTATCCTTCACCAGATCTTGTAAGCTTGGTTCCAACTTTTGAGCTTCTGTGAAGGAGCAAATTGAAGATCGCCTTAGACTTGCTTGTCATGAGCGAAAATTATCTTTAGCTCAAAGAGAAAGCATACAATAGAAAGGATTTTGAACTGCGTTTGAACCTTTTTGTGTATATACAGACGTAACAGACCTGTATCAACTATCTCTCACGGGAACTGGGAATTTCAAACTGTGTTTGAACATTTTGTGCATATGCAGGTGAGTATCAACTCTCTTTCACGGGAATTGGAGATTTGGTAATCACAGTTTATGCTTAAATTCTCCTTTGTGCTTTCTTGTTAGTTTTGCCTTCTTTTAATGTTTAGATAAGAGTAAATATTTACTGTTTCTTTCCTGTTGATAGTTGGAATTGGTTACAATATGAGGTTTAGACAAAATTTTAATCCTATCCTCTTCGGAAGATTAGGAAGCTCAAAAAACAAAGGGAGCTTGCTATTGCGACTAAAGAAGAGGAGAATAGAGGAAGGAGGAAACTGCGGTGGGGACTATTGCACACATACATGCAAAGTTTGAAACGAAAAAGAATCATGGCAAAGGAAATGGAAAAGTATATTAAAATTTCCTTTATAAATACTTCATTGGCAATTGAGTTGACAAATGTACCTATCTTGATTTTCATTATGTGAAGATGATTTTTTCTTTTTTCTTTTTTTTGGGAAATTTTATGGAGTTGTATGGTAAAATTTTTGTCCAATCAACTGTAGAAAATAGAATTTTGTGGATCTTCAAATGCAACAAATAACTAAGTTAAGCTTATCCTGGGCACAGCCATGCGGTGCGTGGCGCCCAAAACTAGTACTATTACTATATAAAAGGGGGAACAACCATTAGCTACAGTGCAACCATGGTCAAATTTGTGCAACCTTGATGACCATAAGGTCAAATTTGACCATTAGCTACAGTGCAACCATTAATAGTTTCGATGGTAATTCTGATGACTTTATGGGGTATTTCGGTCTTTCCAATGTGGCATAAAGGTCAAATTTGTGGCTCCTGAATTTTCTGATATTGACTTTGCATTTTCTTTCTCTATAATGCCCTTGGTGGTCCGATTTTGCCCGTAAATTTGGAGATTTGTGTGTCTGTTTATTAATGTTTGGTTAGGCTTTCTTGTAATTTTGACCATGTTTGTGCCCTTTTATTGTTCTTTTTCCTTAACCTTATTGTGATTACCTTATGGGGTGGAGACCGAGAACTCGGAAATCGCAACGGTTCTTCTGTCCTACAATCTATGTCACTTTCTGTCCCACTTTTTATTATATTGCTATTTCACCTACATAAATATCATGTTTTAGTTTTTTTTTGTTTTCTTAAGATCCAATAACTATTAATTGAGTAATACACAAAATTTAACAAACTCAAAAAATTAAAATGCATAAAAATTGAGATTTTTTTATGAATTTTCTGCTATATTTTTAAATTTTCTATTATATATTGCTTTTTCGAAGCTGCTGTATTTATTTTTCACTCAATTAATAGTTATTGAATTTTAAGGAAACAAAAAAGAACTAAAACATGATGTTTATGTAGGAGAAATAGCAATATAATAAAAAATGGGACAGGGAGTGGCATAGAGTGTGGAACAGAAGATCCGTTGCGGTCAGAAATGCCCATTTTTCCTCTCCTTTCTTCATCATTGTCTCACTCTTCACCTTATCTTCCCTTCAATCATCCTCTTATTTCTCTCATCTTCTTCCTCTTTTCTTTTCTTTGGTTTTTTTTTTTGGTTTTGACCGAGAGCAACAACAAGAACAACAATGGTCTGGATTTTTTTACTTGTAAGACTCTTTTTCTTTCTCATCATCAAGACTTCTTTAGCCTTTTGGATTTTTTGGAGGGTTTACCAGTCGAATTTTATCATATAATATGTATATATTTGTGATGTAAATTTTTTCCCGGTGTCGAAGAAATTACAGTAGTACGGGTCTCCTCCGGCCTCAAGAGGGTTAAGGTTAGACTTGCATTTTTTCTCTCTCGACTTTCTTCTATATATTTTTTTGATTTTTTTAGTTCCTGTCATTTTCGCCATGTTTGTGGCTCTTATATTGTTCCTTTCATCTTCTTTATCGTAATAATACATCCAACCAAAGGAAAGCCAGGAGAACGGAAAGCCAGTGGTCCAAGCAGAAAAGATTTTTTTTTTTTAAAAGAGAGAGGGTGCAAGGCTATGATTTCCCTTTGAAAGTGTGAGACCATTATAAATCATAGCATCAGTGGTGCAGAAGAAATCAGAGTATCAAGAGGCTCCTCTGGCCTCAAGATCCTTAAGGTTGGAGCTAGATTTTCTGTTTCTTAGCTTTCGCCTCTATATTTTTTTTCCGTTTTTCCCACTAGAAGTATCAATCTATGTTGTTTGCTTTCAATCTATAATGTTGTTGAGTTTCTCGACCATCAAAGTTTTTTCCCTTTGATAATCAGTTCCTAAATTTTTCCTTGAATTCTTTCCTTGCCATCTGTTTTTTTAAAATAAATATCTTTCTGTATATATTGGCTCTCTGGATTTATTTTTAGATGTGTAGTTGAAAATTTAGATATATGTTCCCTTCAAGTGCAATCTTGGAAATTTTTTTTGTACATGATTTTCTTTTGTTTTCTTTTTTATCGTTAGTATGTCTATGTAGATTATAGTTTACTCCTGTTTCAGGTTTCGTCTGGGCATGACAAGTTTCATGAGATCTATGTTCTCGATGGAGAGGTAAGCCTTCTTTTCTTTCCCTGTGTTTTTTAAACCACCTTACAAATTAGTAATTTCTTTGTATAGTTATTTGTATAAAATTTCCTCTTTGAACTCTTATTATTTTACTTGATTGAATTTCATGAGACAATAAATTGTGTGTTTTTGCTCATTATCTTTTAGGGATGTAACAATTTAGGAGTTCCATGCTTACTAAGATTGAGGGTGATAGGTTGTGACTTTAGTATTTATTTTCACTTGTAGGCTTCCTATTATTGAAATTTGCAAATTGTTTTTTTTGATAATCTTAGGAATTCATCAAGATTTGCAAATTAATTTTTCAAAGCTATCTTTGGGGGGGGGGGGGGGGGGAATAGGTGAATGGCATATGATTCAAGTTCAAGATTCCAGTTCGTGGTCCAAAGAGCACGATTAGTTGCCGTTGAAGCAGCTATTGGAAGCTCTATTGCCTTGCAGTAATTTTTCGAATCATTTCTAGATTTCGATCTGGGAAGTGACAGACCATTGATTTACTTGCATAAGCCTCTTAATTTTTTCTCAATTGTTGGTTTTGGCTTTAATTTCAAAATTCTTTGTTTTGACAGACCATCGATTTCCTATTCAGGATTATGGTATGGTGGTGCTTTTTCTCTGTTTTCGTGTATGTTGTCTTCTCTGCAGTTCTCTTCCACTTCAGCATCAGTTTTACTGTAATTGGTCTTGCTCCTGATTTTTTTTTTTTTGGTTTCTATGTTATGCAGGTCATAGATTCTATAACATATTGTTCATATTTTAGGTTTAAATAGTTTGGTGGATGATTTGCATGTATTTCATTTACGTTGCTTTCCATTAAAGCTCTTGCCTTTGCCGTCTTTTGGCAGATAGCTTTCTAATTTAGTGCCAGGTGGCCTATGTTTGCTTATTTGTTTTAATCTTTCCCATGTATGGAATGTTTCAGAAAAAATATTATGAAATTAGGTTCTCTTGTACCACTAAGTTGCCTTTACATTAAACTTACTCTTTGATTTTGCTTTTCAGGACCAACTGGTTATTCAATGTTGAAAGATTGCATAGGGTTCATATAGAGTGATCAATTTTTGAGGTAACCCTTTTTTGATCCATCTCCACTGTTTAATTATCTACTTTTTTTTTGTGTTTTTCATGTTTTGATTTTCGCCAACTCTTCTATTCCTGACACACCTCTCTTAATCAATAAGTTACTTGTGATGGCTTTTTTTTCACATGTTTCCAAAAATTGACTGTCTTATGGGCCTAGGTGACTAGATGAAAAGTCTGAGCTTTTGGAGGTTGAGCAAGGCAAATGTTCCATGACCTTAGATCACTATTATTTTTTACAGTGAACATTATAGGTTTGTATAATGTGTTCTCGAGTCAATTATGAAATCATGACCCCAGTTTCAATGGTAATTTTGTCGATAGCCCTTGGTTATTTGGGTTTTTTACAAACATTGTGTGGATTGATGGTGTGTTCTCTGCGCTAAGATTCTGATGTTATTTTTGAAAGATTGAGGCTATCCTTTATGGTTGGTTTGTGTTTTCCTGTGAATTGAGTGGATTACGTAGGTTTTTTCATTAGTACTTATTGTTGGCTGCATGTATGTGTTGTACATTGTACAAAAGTTTTCGTAAGCCTTTATTGTTTGCCTGTTTTTTTTGCCTATGCTATTAAATGAAAATTATATGCTAATGGTAGACAGACATTATTACGATGTATTGCGGATGATGACAGCCTAATTTTTCGTTTGACGAATGTTTAATCTGTAGGCATTTAAGTGATTGTTTGTGCAACATGTCATATGCTTTTACCCTTGCACCACTCTAATGATCTATCCCCAATTCTTTCCCTTTCCCTCCCATTTATCTTTTTCCTTTGGAAAGGAGCGGTCCACCTTTTGAAACCGCTCCATAAACAACGACCACTATGAATATCCCTTGAGAAGTTTTACATTTACCAAAAAAAAAAAAAAAAAAGCAAAAGGAAAAGAAAGAGGAGATGTTCCATGAACTATTGCCTCTGTTTCTTTTTCTTTGATTCATTCTTCAATTGTTAAATGTCAACTGTTGCGATGTATTCATTTGTCTAGGTTTCTATTTTGATGGATTTTGAGGTTTTTTAGGCAGATTAGAGTTTTATTGATTCTTAGTATGCTGAAGGATGCTTCTTCTGAAGTTCTTGTGTTGTGATATTATAATTCTATACCCATTTTTTTTTGCTGTGGTTTACTTGACATAGCTGATTTTGCTCACTCCAATACTTAAATTTCTATACCATATCCAGGTTATAAAGACAGCTGGAGCATCTAGATATCTCAAGCCTTTTCAATTTCAACATTTTAATAAGGTACCCTCAATTTGTTGCTTTATTACTTCTTTTTTAAGGGATTCAAAATAACTCTTGGTCTCATTACTATTTGCAGAGTTCTGTTTTTTGTGAAACTGGTTTTTTTTTTCAATTTGTATGGCATCTTTAATTGAATTACACATGAAGTATAGAGAAATTCAACTAGCAAGAAAATAAGGTTTCTAGAAAATATCAAAAATGGGTCTAATTTAGGAAAATTATATATGTGATGACTATCATTGTTAAGTTGTTAAGCTTAAAACGACTTATAAATCTCAACTTATTCAACCTTTGTTGTAAATCTCACTCTCTCTTAAAATATGTATTTGCTAAGTTATCTACATTTGCAAAACACAGCTTTGTCAAATCCAGCATAAACCTTTCTGCATTTCATGAAGTATAATAAGACATAAAGGACGGGTGGTGTTGACATTTCTCTTAATTATTTAAGCACTTTGCACAAACAGTATTAACATGGTCGAATATAAAAAAATTCTACATTCAAAATAGGATAATAAAGCACCTAAATGAGTAGCTATGATGGCATTTGCTTAGTACAAATATTGTTCAAAGATAGTATTAACATATCCAAATACATCTCAGACAAACTGCAAATGAAACTTTGAAAACAAATTGACTTGAATTTTTATCCTATGTTTAGAATTCTTTTTCTGTGGTATATATGCTCAGCAATTAAACGCTTGCATATCGTATAAGCAAGTGCAAGATTTACTATAATCCCAAAAATGTGTCCTTGTCTTTTGGATCGACTTTCCTTTGTTTTCCAATTAATCTAACGTATTCTTTCTTCTTTTGGCTATCTACATTGGATTCTTCTAATGTTACAGTTGCAAAGCTTCATAAACATGTTAAGAACAATAATTTCATTATTTTTTGTTGTCATTTCTCCATTTTTTGTTCTTTGTTACTTATAGTTTTGCCATATGTGCATCTTCAGCGATTCTGTGTTTTTTTGGGGACTGTAAAAGCTCCATTTGGCACATTTCTAAAAAAAAAAAAAATTTCCCCTCTACTTTGTAAGTCATGAATCATTCCATCTCTTGATATTCTCTCTTATGTTTCTAGACTACAATGCCTTTAGAAGTTCTGCAAAACTTAGAAAAAAAAAAAAAGGGATAACATGGGCAACCTCATTGGATTGTTTGCAGGAAAGTAAAAGAAATTTTTGTTCTCAGAACTCTTTTTTTTTTCATTATGGAGACACATTTCCTCAATTGTTGTTTATTGGTCTAGGGAATGTTATCCTTAAATGTCGCACTATTAGTGCACTAAATATTCAGCAAAGTTCTTTCTTTTAGAAAAACATTGATACAAGAATTCTTAGGTTGTGTTTGGATTGCATATTTCGTGATTTTTCATGGAAAAATTACTGTAGCGATTTGATGTATGTGAGGGAAAAAGGTAATAGGAAAATGTGATCACGGAAAACGACGTAATTTTTCTACGGAAACCGGCAATCCAAAATCTCCTGTGAAGGGATTTTTTTTTTCAAATTAATTTACTCAGCTTATCTGATTTGATTTTTTTTTTGTGTGGATAAATAAGGTGGAAGAAGACGATGCTTGGAACAAGTGACCAGTGATTATGATATAGGCTTTGAGATTCAATTCTGATAACGCTTCAGTATTTGTGTTCACTTGAAGCTTTTCTAATATTGTTTGATTTTTAATTGTAGTAATACTCTTTCATATTACAGCAATTATTTGAAAATTAAGTTTATGGCATTTTGTAGTCTGATTCATGTCTCACAAGCTAGGACATATTTTTTAGAGGACACATCTGGGATCAGCTCATACTATGGTATTTCTAGCTAAAACAAAATGTCAATATACAATCACTATATTTAGAGACGCTTTTGCAGAAAGGATCTACCCTTGAACCTGCTGTCATCATATTTAATTGAATAAAAAAATCCATATATTTCTGCAACTATGCAATTTGCAATTCTCCAGATGCCACCAATGGCTCAAAATAGTTCATAGCCATTTGCGCATAAAAATTACTCCTAAGAGCCATTTGCGCATAAAAAACACTCCTAACCCCTAAACGTCTAACTCCCTGGCTTCGTCATGGGCTGCCCCGCGCTCGGCATGGGGTTCAAAAACTAGTATAATATAATATAAGAAGAACAAAACGGAAGGAAGCATTTTATAAACTAACAGCCATTTGAGCTGGTGACCAGTCACCACCATAGTTTTTAAGACTGGGTGAGGTAAGAGGTTAAGGATCCTCTTCTTTTAAAATAGATTAGAGTAAAAGTAAGTTTAGAATAAACAAATAATGATTGACAAAAAAATAAGAAAAAAAAAAGGGAAGGAAGGAAGCATTCTATACAAAAACGAAAAATACTACGTAATAATAAAGAATTTTGGCAGGCGCAATTTCTTTGGCAAACTATTATTCAAGAAAAAGGAGGAAACTACGTAATAGCACAATTGCGTATTCTATTATGATAACAAAAGTATTATAAAAAAAATAACTTTGAGAAAAAATATTGACTGTAAAAAAAAAATCGACATGAGATTTAAACTTACGATACTTACTTTCTGCGGCCTTATCTTTAGCTACTAAACTAGGACATCGTCAGCTGATTACACCTATATTTAACTCATAACACAGCAAATTTCTTTATTTATTTATACATAAAAGGTCCTTTATTAAATCCCACCATTCATCAATGACCTCTAAAAGTACCACAATTCATAAGGAATTTTTGCAAGCGTAATTTTTTTAGCAACTTATTATTTCAGGAAAAAGGAGAAAACAACATAATGGTTCAATTGAATATTCTAATAATAGCAATGCAATAATAAATTATTAATAATATGGCAAGCAATTTAATAGCAAGAGAATTTGGGGGAAAAGAGGGAAAAAGAAACCAGGGAAAAAAAGGAGAACAAAACCAATATAAGAAATGTAGCAACACGACAAAATTATATACATAGTAGAAAATAGAGAGGAGTACAAGTCCCTAATTTAAGCATTCCTTTCCACTTAATGTGTAACGTTTTTAACATACAATACTTCCAATGGTAAAAAGTAACATAACCAAGTTTTTTTTTTCCTTTTTTCTTGTCTCTTCTTAATGTTTGTTGCAAAAAAAATGGATGTTTTAACATATTAATTAATTGAGTGTACGGTTCTCTGTTGAGGAAAAATAGAAGCAATTTAAAAGTTTCTGTACTACTCTGACTAGAATACAAAGAAGGAAAAGTGTACCTTGCATATAGGCTTGTGCTCGGCTAACTATAAGCATCATATCAATCTGTAGCAGAATTGGAAAAAAAGGAGTTGAGATTTTATGGCTGGCTGCATCAAGTCAAATATAAAGGGGAAAAAAGGAAGCTCCAGAAATTGCTTTTAAAAAACTTGAATTAGACTCATTGTGATGAGATTGACTCTGTTTCTGAGGGACTTGACTCTTCTTCTTCTTCTTCTTCTTCTTCGCTGGGACTCCATAGATCAACACAATCTTCAATTAAGATCTTTAGAGTCTCATTTCCCGTATCTATCTGTTCTTGTTGAATTTGCTTCACGGAACTTGCAACAGACTCACGACACCATTTCACCTCAATAATTTCGAGAGTCGGACATTCCCCTAAACAAGAAGGCAACTCTTCCAAATTCTCACAATCGTGCAAAACCAACTTCTCAAGACGGGGAAAATTATCAAAAGATGCAGTCCAGCTGCGAAAGTTCCACAAGCCCCTCAATTTCAAGGCTCGGAGGCTAGGGAACTCCCCTTCTTTCACTTCCCATTCTTCCCCAGAGAAGGAGTCATCGAGTAATTTAAGCACTTCAAGTTTGGGCAACTTTCCAATTGTTGAGATTTCACTCCATGACTGCTCATTGTATGAGAGACTCAACTTCTTCAAATCCAATGGGAATTTAAATCCGTATCCGTCAAAGTAACGCAGAGCAAGTGATTCTAGTTGACTCAAGCAATCAAACACGAGAATCCCGTCTCCAATTCTGGTAGGTTTTTTTCTTGATGCCGTCATCTTACATCTTAGCCTGCGGATGTTTGGTAACTTTGTCAGTATCTTTTCCAAGTTTTGAGAGGAGGGATCAATGGCAAGGCTTAAAGTGTCTAAATGAATTAAGCCTGGGGATACTTCAAGATTTTCATCAGGAAAAACAAAACCAGCTGTAGTCCATAGATGCCTCAATGTCTTAATGTTCCAGATAGTCTTGGGTAACAACAACTCAGTGAGGTATCCTCCTTGTAGCAGAAAAGTTTGTAACCTTGAGAGGTTTGCTATTGCAGCTGGGATGAAATTTACTTCACTAGCACAAAGAGCCAAGTATCTCAAGTCAGGAAGTAAAAATACTTCCATAGGAAAATATGCACCAAAGTTCAATTCCCCCAAATCCAACACTCTTAGAAGTTTAGGGAACCAATATCCCAAATCTTCCTCCTTAAACAATAACAAACTGCGTACATTGGGAAATTCTAGCAATAACTCCCAAATCTTCAAATTCTTGGCACTTCGATTACAAACTCTGAGGGGGTTGCTTTGGACAGTAAGAATAAAATGATCATTCCGACTATGCAAAACATGTAGAAAGTCTTCTTCTTTGGCCTTTTTCACACAAAACTCATGTATCAAATCATGAAGTCGACAGGTTTTGGCACCACCATAGTTCTTTGTTTGGAAACCATAACTAAACTTCTATCAACTAGATCCTTCAAATAGTCATCTGCCACATCCTTTAAGCTCTTTTCTTCAGTCTTTCGCACAAAGCCTTCAGCGATCCAGAGCCAGAACAACCTTCGGACAGGAACATTTTCATCTTCTTTATATGCACCAAAGTAAAGAAGGCATGGTTTCAAATCATCCGATAAATGACTGTAACTCAACTCAAGCGTCTTCATGCAGTATTCATCATCAAGGACAGTACTGGAAGTTAGACTCTTTGCAACTTCTTTCCAGCAGTCTGTTGCAGTATTAGCAAGAATTCCAGCAATTAGGAGAACTGTGAGAGGTAAACCCCTACATAATTTTGCTATTTGAGATCCAACTTTACCTAGTGTCGGAGGAAAACCTTCTTTACCAAATAGCTTTTTCTGCAGCAATTCCCGACTCTCTTCGTCAGTAAGGTGGCGGAGATGGTGAGCCTTGCTATCAGGTTTGAATTGCAATTGAATTCTGCTGGTGAAGAGGATCCTACTTCCGTTAGCATCATCGGGCAATGATCTCTCCAGCAAATTCCATGCCTTAATCTCCCACACATCATCCAAAAAAATGAGATACCTATTTTTCTTTAAAAGTTTGTACAGTTTGAGAGCCAAATCATTTTCATCCATCTCAAGATATTCACCAGGACTTCTAGAAGAAATACTACATAAAAGCTGAACTAACAAACTGTGCATGCTATACACTTGAGAAACAGTACACCGAGCAAGCATATGAAAGTGGCTCAAAATTAATGGATCATTGTAAACTCTATTGGCCAATGTTGTCTTACCAAGTCCAGCCATACCCACAATTGAAACAAAGTCCAACCGCTTTGAACCCCTGGTAAGACACTGAATAATCGTCTTTACCTCATCATCAAGACCCACTAGAACTTCATTCAACACTGGGGTGCTACATTTTGACTCAATGCGGAAAGATTTCCGGTTTGTTCTCTGAGCTCCACAGTCATGCCTCGTGCTATCATAGGTTTCCAGGGCCTCAGTCCTCAAAAGCTGGATATCTCTGGCAACTCTTTCCAAATATTCATGTTTATCACCAACCACAATAGAGTCAATGACAAACTCTGCCCTGTGTGCAACCTCCATAGCACGACTCCAAAGAGCTTGGAGTTTTCCATTCCGGTTACGCTGGTCTACTACCTTGACAAGGAAAGATCTTAAGAATACGAGATCTTCTAGGACTCTGTGGATTTGATCTTTTGGGAATGCAATTGAATCATCAGCCTCATTACAACTTTCTAGTTCCTTCAGATTTTCAAGGAGAAAATCCATAGACCCCAACTCATTGGTCCTAGGAAAACCAAATGACGAGAATGATGTTACTGGATCGGTAACTTCTGCCCTAATAAACTTGAGCACTTTAAACAAATGACAAAGAGCAAGATTGGTTTCCTTGGCCAAGCCTTCTTTGATTTGATTCACAGAAAGAGAGAAAATTACAACCGCTGCATCACAGGCCAAAACTCCAATAAGATTCTTCATTTCATGGCACAGATCTTTGAACTTCTCCTGATGCCTGAGGAGGATTGTCAGGAATCTTAGCCCGTCAACAAATTTGAGCATTTGATTCATGATCGGGACTGGAGTATTGGTACAAGGTTGTAGTAGCTCCGCAGTATTCTGAACGAGATGATCCATAAAGTCAGCTACTAGATGCTTATTCTTCTCCAGATCTGAAATGTCTGATGATCTTGCGAACTTTGCAGCAGTCAAGACATGGATGTAAGTTTCTCGGACCTGGGGATCACCGGGATTAATCTTCTCATCTATTAGTCGAGGAATTTGAAGTCCTGTTTCATTCAGTACTTCATTATCTGTGTGAAAGTACCATATAGAAGCCAAGTGTGATGCATTGATAGCCATCACTTCAGCGTGAATCAAGAGATCTATCAGTTGCTGACCCTTGACACCGCGAAGCATGGCAAAAAGAATGAAACTCTTCAAGAACATTAGCTTCTTTCCGAGGCGTCCGAAATAGAAACTCTTCATTTTCGCCAGAGCCTTTGAAACCAAATCAATGAAATCAATCACTAGTTCTGGATCTCTCAGCCAGTAATACTCCAACAGAAAGTTAATCCACGATTCCTTGATATGTGTCCCGAAAAACAACTTGATTGCTTTCCGGAATCTGGTGAGCTCACTTTGGACCTGAGTCGCATAAGTTGAACGAGAATGAATCAAGCATTCGTTGCAAGCAATTTCAAGATCTTGCATTCCCCTGATAATCAAATTTTGAATTATGAAAGAAGTAACATCCTTCTCCTCCTCATCTTGTTCCAAACAGGTTTCATGGTTCCTCCTCCTCCTCCTACACTTTGTCAGATACAGATCAAAGCTTTGTAATAGTCTCACCCGGGTCTTCAGCCCATAGATATCATCACCGAAATAACGGAATGTCTTATTGATCCAGCCCAGAAAATCGAGAGCGAGTTCAAAGCAACTAGGGCTACTGCTGCAGCAGATCTCCATTGTTGTACCTTCTATTCACTCTGAGATCATATTTGCATCTTGAATAAACTTTAGTTCAAGGTTTACAACTTTTCTCATAACCTGAAAATAGTCAAATATTGTTGGCGAGACTCTTCCTTCTTTTCCCGTTGCAAAAGTTGCGAGACTCTTGTCTCTGTCCTGCTGCGCTGGTAGAGACATTTAGGGTCCCAACCCCGGAGCCTAAGCGAGACAGCTTTTGTCTACTTTCGGCCCAAAGTGCATTTCGAAATACTGGATCCTAAAGCAGTAAATGGTTGTAATACTACGGTGACCGTAACATTGGTTTTGAATTTTGATACTAAGGCAGTAAATAGTAGTAATTTTACCAGAATTTAAACACCATAGTCGAAATTGCTCAAAGTTAATATTTGAACTATTTTTTTTTCCATCAAAACCATTCATTATCCTTGTCAAAACTCCGCGCATATTAATTGAACAATTCTTATAAATCCAATTCATATGCGAAGTCACAACAAAAATCCTATCAATTTTGAAAGAGTTCACTTATAAAAAAAAAATGATTCTAAATCACGACATTTCTTTCTAAGTGAGAGACACAAACATGAGAATTCCTAAAATTACAAAGAGTTGGGTTATCCATTAATTTGTTTCTGTCTTAACTCATATATGGCTTAGTATAAAATTTTCTATTTAAAAATATTAATGGATTTTAACTGTGATTCTCTTATCAAAAGGAAATGATTGTTCTTTGAACTATTGTACAGGAGGGCAGGAAAAAACCATAGCAATTAGCTAGCATAAAGTCATCAGTAAGACTAAATTGCTAAAATCATCTTTGGGACAAGAGTTTGCTAGTAAACAAACGGTCATAACAATGAAAAAACAGCCATTTTTAATGAAAAATCACCTTGACTAACATTAAGATATTAGCCCAACATTTGAATTTTCCAACTGAAAACATGAAATTGAAGAAATAAAGCATCCCCTTAAAAAAGGTACTATTTGCCAACCATCTTAAATTAGTAATCCAAACTTCAGGCTTCTAAAGTCTTCCAGATATATTGCCCATTTTTTTTCCTTTCTTTCGACGTTGTACTGCAATACTTATAAGTAAAACGAAATAGGAAGATAACAAGAAATAACATGCCCTGTAATCCTTGTTCCTTACAATCTACCACCTTGGAAATGCTTAAAGGACCCTTTTTTCCTGTTATCAATGATTATTCCAGGTCCTAAGTGCATAGGAAATGATATGGATATATTTTTTAGGCCTCTAATTGATGAGTTGAAAGAGTTTTTTGACACTGGCTTTGAGACTTATGATGCAGCCATGGGAGAAAAATTTATGTTACGGGCTGCTCTATTGTGGACTATAAGTGATTTTCCAGCATATGCCTATTTGTTAGGGTGGAGTACGAAAGGTTTTAAAGCCTGTCCCGTTTGTTTAGATGAGACAACTAGTGTATATTTGAGAAATGGATTAAAATGTTGTTATATGAGGCACCGGAGATTTTTGCCAACTGACCATAAATGGCGTAGAGAAAGAAAGTCATTTGATGGCAAGAGAGATCTTAGACAGCCTGTTAGAACTTTATCTGGTGAAGAAATCTTGCAACAACTTCAGGGTATTGACAAAATGGATTTTGGCAAGGCACCTGAATTGCTTAAAGAGAACAAAGAAAACGCATACAAAATCAATCAAATTGGTTGAAGAAGAGCATTTTTTTTGAGCTGCCATATTGGAGTACTAACAAAATTAGACACAACTTGGACATTATGCATATCGTGAAGAATGTGTGTGAAATTTTGTTGGGTACAGTGATGGGTACGGGTCAGAAAAATAGGGACACTTGGCAGGATAGAGAGGATTTGAAGGAAATGAGATTGAGGGAAGAATTGCATCTTCAAACTCAGGGGGATTCAAAGGTGATGCCCGCTGCATGCTACACTCTTTCACGCATTGAAAAACAAAAACTATGCCAGTTTTTGAGCTCACTCAAGTTCCCCGATGGATTTGCCTCAAACATATCTCGTTGTGTTAAGCCAAAAGAGTGCCAAATTTCAGGGATGAAGAGTCATGATTATCATGTATTCTTGCAACGTCTACTTCCATTAGCAATTAGAGGCATGCTGCCAAAGGATGTATCCCAAACTTTGGTAGAACTAAGCAATTTTTTTAGGAAAATTTGTTCCAGGACTCTTTACGTAGATGAGTTAGATGCACAGGAGAAAAACATTGTTGTAATTCTCTGCAAACTTGAAAAAATTTTCCCTCCAAATTTCTTCGATGTAATGGTCCATTTACCTGCTGAAGCAAAACTTGCTGGCCCAGCACAATACCGGTGGATGTTCCCATTTGAGAGGTACTTTAGAGGCTATTTTAAGACTGAATCTTCTTTTGCTTCATAGGGTGCTACTGTTGTGACATCTCTGGCTGCATTTTTGTGACAAAGAAAAATGGGTTAGTACAAAGGTTATGTGCACAACAGAACTCAACCGGAAGGATGCATTGTTGAGCGTTACTTGGATGATGAATGTCTAACATTCATTTCCAGGTATTTGCACAATGTTCCTACAATATTTAATGAACCAGAACGAAACACAGAGCGCTTTCAAGCTGCTGGAAAGTTGTCTATTTTTTCTGGAATGGCTCGGCCTTTTGGGGCAGCAACATTTTGTTGCTTAAGTGAATCAGAGTTGATGAAAATACATTTATTCATCTTGAAAAATTGTGAAGAAATTGACGATTACTTAAGGTAATAAATTTATTTCCCCTATACATATGAGAAGTGTAATATGTTCAGTCAATTATAGCACTAACCGTAGCACATAGATAACTAATAATACTATTGAATAGGATGCACAAAGAATTGCTTCTGCAGCAAAATGCGTCGAATGTACAGCAGATGCAAGATTTAGAGTTTCCAAAGTGGTTTGAAGAGCATGTAAGTATGGAACAAACTACTAGGAAACTTGACTTCATTATATAGTTGTTAATTTGCTAAACCATTCTAATTTCTTATTTGGATTACATAGGCCACTTACATGCATGCACATGGCAGATGCTGTGATGAATTATTGTCTTTGGCCAAAGGACTTGATTTTAGAGTGATCAAATATCCTGGTTGTAATGTCAATAGGTTTAGATTTCATACCAAAACACGTGAGGTGGATAGAAAAACCCAGAATAGTGGCATTATCGTGAAGGGTGAGCATGCTGATGTAGAAATAAACTTCTACGGTGCTATTACAGATATCTTCGAGGTTGAATACTCCTTCACTCAAAGCCGAGTAGTCCTGTTCAAGTGTGATTGGTGGGACTTAAAAAATAGCTCATGTCTTAAAATAGACAAACAGAGTAATCTGAACAGCATCAATTTGTCAAAAAAATGGTATACAGACCAGCCATCTGTATTCGCTTCCCAAGCTGAATAGGTCTTTTACGTAAAGGATATGAGGCTTGGAGGTCATTGGCATGTTGTCGAGACGGTTAGTCCACGCTCATCATATGCTGTTCTTGAAAAGGATGAAGATAAATCATGTGAAGAGGAAGAGGCTTACCAAGAAGATTATGTTGAAGACCTAATTGCGGTACAAGAGAATGTCGATTTGTCTAACTTGAAAAGAGGCGATATGCTAGTTGATGAAGCTATAGAAGCTGGCAGCTGGCAGCCTAAATTCTGATTCTTCAGCTAAACGTGCCAGGAAAATGGATGATTTTTTTGTTGATGATGAAATTCAGCAATTGAGCTTGAGTGAAGATGAAAATGAAAAATTTGTAGAAAGTGATGACTATGAGTCTGACTAAATGATGTTGTAAAATAACATTTTCAATTTCTATTTATTCTTACCATGTAACTTTTGGTACATATCAAGTGTTTTTATTATCTTGAATTATTTTTAGTCACTCTTATCTTCTAATTTGCAATATCTATTGTAAAATACAAGGCATATTAATTAAGTTCCTCGTTTGATTGCTGGTAATTGTAACATGTCATGGCTTTCTAGTCATATTTAGTCTAAATGCATCAAATCAAATGCTACATATATATCCAATGAAAGTTGCCATGGTTGATTGTAATTTTTTTATCTTGTAGTTACATGGCTGGACCAGGGAAGAAAGGAAAATATCCTTCGCGACCAACTCGAGGTGCTAAAATGCCTAATGCAGCACAAGCTAGAGAAAAAATAGGTGAATAGGTGATGAAAATTGACTCAACTATATACTTGGACCTTCACCTCCGTATACCATTGGTCCTAAACAATTAAGCATCTACCAAAACTTTGTATTTCTTATTTCACTGTAGCAAGTTGGTGTTTCAAAAGGTAGTCTGACTAGCAATGCCAATAATGGTGCTGAATTTAGCCTATCTAGAAAGTCAGTTCAAATTCGCCTATTTGATGAGACTGAGGTTAGTTCTTACTTTTTGGCTTTGGGACCTAGTTAAATAGGAATTTATACTCACTTGCAAGTTGGCGTCCGTATTCGAAAAGTACATTTCTAATGTGTAGTTGGCTGGATTTTAGGGTCCTACTACCTCAAATGGTCGCAATACTGCTACAAGATCATCAAGACATGAGTTGACAACTCCTACATCTATTGAGCAGCAAGATACTACTCCTACTTCAGTACATGTCGGATCTAACCAGTCCATTGGTTGTGGAAGTGACCAGAATAATGAGAGCGAGGATGTTCAACAGAATGATACCGGTATATATGAGATTTACTTGTAATTTGACACAGCTAATTTCATTTCAGATTTTTCCACTCATATTCATAACCTTGTACTATGTTTTGATTAGATGTCATCAATGTAACTAGGAAAAGAGGATATACGCGCAATATTGCACTGTCCAGAGAAAAGAAGGACGGCAAAAAGGTAAAAGTTCAGGTCTCTGAAGTTAGTGGAAGAGTAATTGGAGAAGGGGTACAATAATATATCTCAGAGGCAAGTTGTGTTATTCGAAAATATGGCAAATGGAAAGCAAAAAAATGGTCCAAACTCCAGGAATCTGATAGAGAAGGAATGCTAAAACTTGTTAGTGTAAGTCAATTTGTTTTGAAGGCTTGTTTTTCTTCTTGACTTGGTAACAAATAATTCTACAACTGGTCATTTATATACTTTTTCTGACATTTATAGAA